ATATTACCCATCAATTACCTATATCATTTCCATGGGTGTTACATATTGCAAAGTTTAGTGAGCAACGAAAAACTTAATCCAAATTTAGGTGAGTAATGATTAACATTTTACATTTTGACGAGTAAGTAGTAACATATAGCAAAGTAGAGTGATCAACGAGTAACTCTTTAGATATCATTTAGCAATTAATAACCTACTGTATAGTTCAGTGACCATTCATTAAATTATGTCATTAGTGGTGTATTATTCTAATTTATTATTTTTTAGGGGTAATGGTCATAATTTCCTCTTTCAAATTTGACTTTTTCTTGAAGAAAGCTTATTCAGTTTCTTTTCCCATTAAATCAAGACGATTATATATCAAATAGGCCTATGAGTTAGGATGCTAGCTGTACAAATGAACATGTATTCTAGTTCTTTGTACATATTGATGTTCCTACCATAAGTTTAAATGAATAATGCTATACATATTATGATCACTCGAGCATTGGATGGTATTTATTTTAAGTCACTTAATTTTAAGTTCAGGAATCTTGGTTATTTTTTTTTATTTTTTTTTCAAATTTTAAGCAAAATTCGGGTGATTTTCAAATTATTCAACCATGTCCTTGTATATTTTACACCCTCACCCGCCAAAATATTGAATCGTTATACTATGCCCCTGTTTGACAATGTGATTTTTTATTTTATTTTATTTTTTAGATCCAGAAACATTGCCTTTACTATGTAAAAATAAGGCCACATCATGCCCAGCACAAACCAGGCTTCAGGTTATGCTGGCCCAGCTTCTTAGAAGGGACGTACGTCTAAATGAGCAAGTGCCATGCCGGTATCTAAAATGGTTATTGAGAATCAAAACCCCTAATTATATTTCACCGAGAGCAATCAATTAACAACGAAATAAAAACATACAAGATTTATAGAGGTTAGTCTCTATGAAACTAAATCATCTTCTATCATTTTAACAATTCATTATGATGAAAGAAGTTTATAAGATAAATCCGCACACATATCTTCTTTAATGAACGAAGAAATAGCAAAATCTAGTGCTCAATGGTATATGATTGTTTGCTCTGATTGCTAGCAATTGCATAACTAGTGGCCGTGCCTCAGCCACATGAAAAGAAACAATCCACAAAAATGTTAGAATGCACAAGGCATCAAAAAGAGTATAAATGACATGAAGCTAAACAATGATGCAGAATGTAAGCCATAAAATTGATGTAGAATTAACAATAATAAAATCACTTTGCAACGTACTAACAAAACGAGACAAATACAAGCTTTTGATAATCTAAATACATACAGAAATGGAATATAGGATAGAAAGATTGAAAATGAATGGAAGCATTGCTGATTTACCTAACCAAACTACAAATAACACAATACACAATAGGGCATCAATGGCAAGAAACCAATAAAAGGGCTTTCGTAGAAGCATCGATCCCTATCCGACCATTGGCATTTTAGCATGTCAAAGGAGAGAACTCACTAGTCTCAGCTGGCCATTCAGAACCTTAACTGAGAGTTGCTCCAACGAGGCAAGCATACCATTGAATAGCCGGGACCAACTGTTCTTGTAAACACACAAAGTTCAGATTAGACACACTCTTTATTTGAATCTACCTGTATAAATTCATCCTTCTAATTTTCTAGAAACCAAAGAACTGGGTTTCCAAGACTCTTTCACTAAAGCAAAATACACAGCCATCCTCCACAAAACTAAGTCTCTTTTTATCCACGGTCTGAAACAAGAGAAGATAGACTCATAGTGTAAGATGTATACAGGTATGTCGGAAAAGAATGGCATATATATGCTGAAAATTAAACGGCAAGATTCATTATTAAATCCTACATAACATTATGAATATTTTCATCATTCATCAGAACATAAAGGTCAAATTATGATCAAAACATTAATAATCAGAACCAAGAAAATTTGCAATGAAGCAGACAAAACAAATGACATGTCTATTAAGGATGGTGCAGACTTCAAATTCTGAACACAAAATCTCCACAACAATAAATCCTGGTTCAAACCAATATACAAGGCATTATATCACAAAAGAACACAATGTACTACATAAAACAAATGCTTGTTTTGATAATATATGTGTAAGAAAGATATGTACCATATGTCCTGTGCATAGTGATGCAGAACAAATTAAAGAATAGAAAGAAGAAGCAAGAAGGGAGGGAGAAATTAGAGAGAATGGGAGGAAGAAACCGGAGAAGAAGTAGAAATTTAGGGGAAAGGGGAAGGAAGAGAAAAGAGACGCCACAACCAATCTCAATAATTCATATTCATCCAAAACTAATGAAATTACATGGAAAATTAGGTTTAAATAGTAAAGACAAAACCTACCTAGAACGGGCTGGGCCAACACAAGCCCAATTACATAAATAGAATCTAAAACATAAATAAAGTCCAACTAGAAAATAAATAAAAATGATTTCCTCATCAACTCTCCCTGAGTGGGAGAAAAACTCGACCCTGTCAAATTGATAGATCACTGTAGGCTACACTCAATCTGATACTCCAAATGCTTTAAGTCAAGCCACAGGGGATGATCTTTCTGACGAACCAAGTACCGAAATTCCATGATTGATAATACTGAAAACTGTAGCTTATTCTCAAGAATATGATCTGGCCAGGGGGGCGGTCTTTCCTTCTAACCACTCCAAATAGCCAATACTCATGCACCTCATCTTCAAAATGTTCACATGATTGTACATAATGAGGAGCATAAGAAGCATGTCGATCTACCCAACAGTGAAGGAAGTACTGAATCTTACCATCATTGGTCAATACAACACATTCATCTAAAATAACATCAATTTTATCTGTGTAATGTGACAGATGGTATTGAAGTAGAAATATCAACATAGTCAAATTGTGGGTTCACAAAGCTAAGTAAAAATGGATCATCAAAGGAAGTAAAGCGATGTTCGTAACTAATGAAATCTTCAATATTTAGAGTAGAGTGGTGGCCAAAATGTGATGAGAGATCAGTGACATATATATTTGGACCAACGTGCTTTAAAATTTTAAAAAGACCAGTATTACGGGCTTGCAATATAACACAATCCCCAATATTAAATTCAAAATTTCGCTTATACAAATCAGCTTGAAGTTTATATAATACATTACTTGCTTCAAATTATTTATTGATCTCAATATGCAAGTCATGAAGATGACGTACAAATGCCTTGCTGACAGAGACATACTGGTATGTGGGGACATTGGAATAAGGTCTAAAGGTATCCTAGACTTATAACCATGAATAAATTCGATAGAACTCATACATATAAACCGATTCACAAAATTGTTATATGCAGCTAGAATTGTTGGGTCGATCAAATCCCAATCCTCAGGATTTTCCTTGAAAAGGACATGATTGCACAAATCATTCATATCTTTGGGTTGAATAAGAGTATGACACACAACATTTGACTGAGAGGTATCGGGAACAAGGGGTACAACCCTTAGATTCATAGGAGAAGTCCAGATACTACATAAGGAAGTGTCCTCAATATCATTCAAGTCATCAAATTCTTCAAGTTTAGGTTAATTAGATTTGATCTTCTAACAGATCATCAATTACATCATTTTGTTCCTCAATGATTAGCATTCGACTCGGACGTTTGGGAGAAATGTGACCAAAGTCGTTACAGCTGAAATACTGCAAGTGAGAAGAAATAGATAAGGGAGGTCCTAGAAGGGACTTAACAGGAGGATGTGGCATTGATTTGGAAGGAACATTAGACGGGAAAGGCTCTATGATAGACTTATGACGAGGTGGCACTGATGAGACAAGTGAACGATGGTGACTACGCTTTTCATATGGAGTTCTAATAAGTAACTCGCAGTCCCGAGCTAAAGAGTAAGCATGACAAGAGTAGTGACACCTCTAAAGAAAAGCTCACGCCTAAGTTCCTCTCTTAGACCTTCTATAAACCTATTCAAAGTCAGGGACTCATCTTCAACGACATGACATTTCATTTGAAACTCCTCAAATTGAGCAATACGCTCACTCACTAATTGATTTCCTTGTTTAAGGGCAGTCCATTGAGTAAAAATTTCAAAATCTAAGCAAGCATTAAAAGTAGGAATGTCTAATTTAATGTCTCTAAAGAAACGCTCCTTATGACGCGGAAGAGAATGAGTAACATGACGACCATCGCCTCGTTCTCACTCACAAACCTGATCCCTATTCCTACGATCGTGTTGAAAATATTTTTGATCATCTTGTCGACGACGATATTGTCTATAATAGGACACTTTAGAATTATTAACACCTGTCTGACGAGGGATTTGCTTAAAATTGTCCGGACTAGCAACTAGCACCCTTCTCACGAGTAGCAGCCATCTCGGTTTGGAAAGCCGCTAATTGAGTTTGTAAGTGTTGTTGGCAAGTAGCAAGTTGAGCTAATTGTTTAGTGAGTGCATCAAAGTGGGATGGGTCCATGGTCAATGTACTAGACATAAGGGCGACAAGACGACTACTACGCAACTGCATGCAATGTAATATCAGCTAAATGATGTTTAATGGTGAGATCAATGAACAATAAGTGCAAGAAATGGAAAATAACAATTTAAACATTTTTTTTTTTTATAAATTTTGGGATTAAGTAAATTTAAATGTAGCAAGCTAATACTGCTGATCTATGTAAAATAACAAAGCACGAATCAAATACTTTAAAAAAAACTAATCACATAAGATAAGAGGGGTAAAATGGGGCTTTGATGAAATCCAGGGATTCGGTCACGTGACTTAGGTATATTTTTAGAATCACAACAGCACAAAAATTAATTGATACAATTTTAAAATGAAACAGTATCATAAACTAATGATAATAGAGGTCAAGAACTCCCTGTTGTTTAGCTGCAGTGGCAGTGCCCACGGAGCTTGAACCTGACGGCGATGTACGTTGAGACCCAAGGAAACAAAACTATACCCAATTATGATTTCCTAGTAGGCATGGCCCAGCGGAATATAAAAAATCAAAAAATTGTAAGCTGAAATTTCGAGAGTGAACAGTACCCATGAACAGTATTTTTTTCACTCTTTTTTTTTTTTCAACTGAGAAAGGAACTGGAAAAATGAAATCTGCTGCTAAATTCGTTTCGCTCGTGTTGTCCCGACAAATTTTGGGGAGGAATTAGGAAGAAATTTTGGATTAAGAAAGCAAATTACCCAAGGTTCGGGTCCGATACCAAATTTGATAAGGACAAATTAAAGAATAGAAAGAAGAAGCAAGAAGGGAGGGAGAAACCGAAAAGAATGAGGGGAAGAAACCGGAGAAAAAGTAGAAATTTAGGAGAAAAGGGAAGGAAGAGAAAAGAGATGCCACAACCAATCTCAATAATTCATATTCATCCAAAACTAATGAAATTACATGGAAAATTATGTTTAAATAGTAAAACAAAACCCTACCTAGAACGGGCTTGGACCAACACAAGCCCAATTACATAAATAGAATCTAAAATATAAATAAAGTCCAACTAAAAAATGAATAAAAATGATGTCCTCATCACGTAGCCTGTTTACAGGAAAGATTAATCATGTTCAACAAGTCATGGAAACTGCACAAATTCAAACTTCAATATCTGTCAAAAAAAAAAATGAAACCATATACAGTTTTCTTTGTATATTTGTACCAAAATGATTATGCAGAAATAACATGGACAGTCCCACAAAAGAATTCCCAGCAGGTTCTACTCATGTACACCAAGTATTGAAATCCCCTAGAGTTTGGTAACCACTATGCTTTCATAGACATCATCCCCACCAGACTCACCTACAAACCAAGACTAGGTGAGTTAGAACTCAATAAGTAAAGGTACGAATGCATAATCAATGTACATGGTTGGAATGATTAAAATAAGCTACGAAGACATTTCAAGCAAATAAAAGAAATCTTTACACCAAAGTCATCATGCGCTAATCTTTTTTGTACATTTTATCCTCTTATATATGTGTCTTTTATCCTGCTAGACATTCCCACAACTATATCATTGTGGTCAAATCAAATCAGAAGGTGGAAGAATGATCCACTTGCCCCATGGAATAATAGATATCACCACATCAGTGCATCATTCATTGTTCGTGGTCTAACAATCCACACGCCCATGGAATTAAACATAATAAACCACTCAATGCCTTCAGTGACCTATTAGCAGATAAATAAGACACTTTCCAGAAGGTCCAAGCACATCGCTTGTATATTCACAATGCATCGAAATTTCTCATCTCTCACAAATATGATATAAATAATATATCATTCATATTCCCCAACCCATATGGCATAAAAGTCAGATATCACATATCAATAGTTAAAAACACATACATTTCCTTAATTGGATGAAAAGCATGCAAGAGGAGTCACCTCATTCACATTGTACCAAGTCTTGCCTTAGAGACTCTTTACTTACCTTGGCTATTAAATGAGACAATATAAGTTAAAACAGTTCTTGAAGCCTTAACTAGTAACATCCCTTGATCAACACAATCAGATAAAATCAAGATGTCAATAATTGTAGCATAAAAACTGTAGGCAAGTCCTTTTCTTGATATTATCCAACAACTTTCATTTTTCACAGATCATTATTTAGGTCTAATTAGATCTCCATTACTTAAGTTAATCTAACATTTAAAACTCAATTGGAACCTCAAAAACTGCCACATTAACATAATATATCACTAATTAAGGTTCCAGGCTCTAAATATGCCAAAAATTAAAATTAAGCTTTGGTATTCCCATGGACAGTAATTATTCTACTCTTCCCATAAGCAGCACTTTCTAAAAGAGAAAAATTGGAAATAGGTGAAAAGACCTCAGTTTCTATTCATTCGATCAACCATGAATTTATCCTCTAAGTAAATGGGGCCACTTACACATTTTAAAAATAAGGTTTAAATCCAGCAGGGATAATTGCAGTCCCGATCCTAAACCTTTTCAAAAAGTGCAGCGAGGTCCCAAAACTTTTTATATTTGGCACACCCATCCCAAATGTTTGGTAAAATACGCAACACGAGGACTTTCGGACAGTATCCGTCCAAAAGTCCATCAGTAAAGCATGTGAAGTGCATGGCCTAAAGAAAATTACATCAGTACTATTAAAAATAAATAACTATTGATATTAAAAAATGTAACAAAGATTGAAAAATTGAAAAATCCCACAACATCCCAACCCAATGCAGACCTATGCCACAACACCCACAATATGCCCGCCCATCACTACTATCACTACCACGTGCTCATCTTTCGCCACCTTCACGGCCCCAACACACCACCATCACAAACGTGTAATGAACCCAAATACACCACACTCCGTCGCCAACAAACCCAAGTTCATGACCATAATGTGAAACACGGAACAAACAAATTAAACCTTAGCTGCCTAGACTCCCTGGTTTTACAACGCAAACCTAGGGGACCAACAATTTGAGAACCCCCTGATTTGGCATTGCCTTATGGTAAGGGAAGATGAGAGGCTTTTTGGGTGTATAAAAGTAGGTTTAGTAGATGTGGTGTTAGCAATGGTGGTGTAATTGCATTAGGTGATGGCTAAGAAGCACTGACACGGACACGAGTATCGATACGTGTCAGACATGCCGACACACAATTTTTTAAAAAACTTTCGACATGATAAGTCGCTGACACGTTGATTACAAAAATATTTTTTTAGTTTATTTTAATTTTATAATCTAAAGTAATAATTTTTTATACTTATTAAATCATATATGTAATAATAAATAAAAATCAAACTTGACATTTAATTCATAATAATAATAAATAAAAATCAAACTTGACATTTAATTCATAATAATAATAAATAAAAATCAAACTTGACATTTAATTCATAATAATAATAAATAAAAATCAAACTTGACATTTAATTCATAATAATAATAAATAAAAATCAAACTTGACATTAAATTCATAAATGTTTCTTAATAACATAAATTCAAAAAGCAAAAATGAAATTAATTACATCATTCATCTTGAATCTCTTCAACATCTTCATCTCCATCCACAAATACTATCGCCTCTAATTCCAGTTTGTCTAGAGATAAATTAGCAACTTCAAGCACACCAACATCTTCAAATGTATCAACTGCATCTCCACCAATATCCCACATTTTAGTCTCTTCTTGTGAGTATTGCGCACTTGATGTGATTTGGCTTGGGCGCCAAACGACCAAGGATTTGATGTATGTTAAGATTTCTTTTGAGTCAATTTCTTATTTTTGGTAACTTTAATATTATTAGGACTCTAATTTCGTGTTTTACAATATTTTAGGAGTTTATTCCTTTTCAAATTAGGTTTTATATTCTTTAGCATAAATAGGAGTTTTATGATTCATTGGAATAAGTTTAATTATGAATTAATGAGAGATTTTCCTCTTCGAAGCTTTGCTTCAAATTTATCTTGTTCATTAAATTGAATGGGGCGAACTTATCAAGACTAATCATCTTGTGGCGTTCAAAATATCGGATTGAATCATTGAATTGTGTAATCAAAGGGTCTTTCGCGTCAACGTTACCGTTGGGTTTTTTGGTTCATCTTTTATTGGTTCAAATCCACAAGCCGGGTGTGATTTCTTCAATCGTATGATCAAGAGGTCTTTCAAGCAACGTTCTTGTTGGGTTGCTTGGTTCACTATTTTGGAGTCAGATCCATAAACCTTGGTCATATTGGCGTTCTTGGGATCCGATTCAATATCCTGTGGGTTCGATTGCAACCTTACTGATCGGGTTCGCATCAGCACTCCTTTTTGACAAGAGATGAAGATTGCTATGGACGAAAATCAAATCTTTCGCACGTTTTGGAGTTACCTTATTTCGTTCAAGAGAGTGTAAAAAGGAATAAGTACTCCAATTTCGCTCACAACACGAAGAAGAAAATGGTTGCCTTAATAATTTCAAGACATAACTTTGAAGCATAGGTGTACAAGTGTCATAAATAACCCACCAAGTCTTCTAGTCCAAGCAATAACGATCATGGATGGATTCAAAATCACTTAAGTTATCTTCCATAGTTGAGAATTTGGCATACTCCTTATTCACCATATTACGCTCTTCATTTGACAAGTACCTCATAAAGTATTTTATTCTTTCTCTTGAAATCTCTATATCTCTATGTGGAGCAAGTCGAGTGGGATCCTCATTAAGCCATTCCTCGCTATAGTACCTAAAAATAAAAAAAATAAAAAATTAAAGAAACGACAATTCATTCAATAACTAATGAAAAATATTAAAAGTTATGAAAATGAAAAAAAAACAATAAATGTATGATTTAGATTTAAAAATTACCTTGGATTTAGATAATGAGACAAGCAATGAAGTGGAGTATTATTTTTGTTCTAATGATCTACAAGTATCCAATGAACAACATTGTAGAATGATGATTCCTCATCTTGAACTTTTTTCTCATGCCTATAAATTATTTCTCACTTTCTCAATCATCGTATCCCACGTGTCGTAAACCAAGTGAAGGCAAGGTTCATCCAAATCTTTCATTTCATCGGAACAATCAACTGCTTTTAAAAATATTAGTCCACTCTCGGTCACCGCCATAAAATTAATGAGTGGCCTTCTTTGTGGATCACTCCATCCATCACTTATAAGGTAACTCATTTTTTCACCCATGTGCCCTTAATTGGATTTAATAAGTTTTCCACATTTTTTCTCTCTTTTTTAAGAAGAGTGGTTCTCAACTTGTTATAACCGGGAGGCAAATACACCGAAATTCGACTATTGGAAGCAAGAGTATAAGAACTAATGTAATAAGGATTTCTTGCAAAAGTAAAAGGCAAACCACTTGAATAAAACATTCTAGCAATTTCGGAATCCAATTGTTCACGTGTAGTCACATTAAAAGAATTTTTTATTGCATTATTCTTTCTTTTATTTTCCTCCAAAACATAACAATCCTTAGAACCCATATTATCCGACGGCAATGGCACTCTTTTTCCCACCTTAGTTTGCATTCTCAACTTGGCTTCATCTTTCATTTTTTGCATTTCACATATATCTTTCACGGTTACTTTCCACAAGCACCAATTCCATAGCTTGTAATTTAAACAAATGTGCTCTCACTCTTGTGTATGAACTTATTTTAGTTGCATTACAAAAATTGCATTGCCAAAGAACGTTACCACCCTTTTTATCAAATTTATCAAGTTTTGTAACATATTTCCAAAGAGATTTAGACAAATCATCATCCATAGCATTACTGTTGGATTTTATGCGCAATATTAAAGAGATGAAAAAGAAAATCAACACAAGAATTTACGTGGTTCGACGGTGTGCCTACGTCCATGAGAGCAAAGCGGAGCTTATTTTATTCGGTAGTAAAAAATAGGGTTACAACATATTATTTATATTAACCCTAGCCAGGACCCATATAAGACTTTAAGGCCCGTACAAGAAATATCCCTGTACCGTACCTCAAGGGCGTTGCCCTAGCACCCCCAACCCATTCAGTGTCCCCCCACCACCCGCGCAAGGCTGATGCCATCGCTCCTATCCTCTCACTCCACTCCGCTCCGACATCGGCCCATTTGATCTAAGAACTGTGTTCCACTCTATATGAGCCACATGCACAACAATTACCACTCATAACATCAAAAGAAAAAATAATTTCAAATACTTAAATAAGATAGGAGAGATGTTACCCGAAACTTGAAAAATATCTTCTTCTTGATCTTGCAAATGATTCTTCAAATGTGGATTGATTTGAAAAAGATGAAATAACAAAGAAAAATTGAAATGGATTTTCTGAATTTTTCTTGTAATTTTCGTAAGTAGCAGTGAGGAAGAAAATGTGTTTAAGTTCTTATATGACTTTTTGTTGAAGGGTAAAATGGTACAACTTGATTCAAATAAAATATTATATATTATCTTATCAAAAATTACAACTGTAGAAAGATACAAAATGTACAATATTTTACAAGTGGTGGGCCCTACAATTTAAAATTTGCATTGGTAAAAGGTAACTTTTCATTTCGAGCAATCTCTCCCTCTTCTCTTCTCTCTTTCTTTCCTTTTCTGTTTTCTTTCCTTCCCCAAACAAGTCAATTCCAACGGTTGCATTTTTTCAGGCCAGTAGTCTCTTCCTCTTCCCTCTTTTTTCTTTCCTTCTCTTTTTCTTCCTCCCCAGACCGTCAGACTTCTGTCGGTTGCATTTCTTCCTCCCATTTATTTTTCTTTTTTGCTTCTCTTCAAGTCAGCTGCCCAGCAATGGCTCCGACACGCGTTGGCAACGTGTCAAAAGCGTATCAGTATCCGATATGTGTCAGACATCGATATGTTGTCGCAAGCAGCGTGTCAGTACTTGACGCCGGGTAGGATAGTGATTATCCTATTAGCTGGTTGTAGCAGATGATTCGCAAGAAAAGAACGATAGAAAACACCCAAAAAAAACAGAGAAAATACTCTGAATTCAACTCAATATTATTAATAATGCAGAATGCTGAAAACTAACCCACAAGCCGGGTTAAATAGCTGCGAAATACGAAATTAGTGGAAAATTACCAAAAATGGCAAAATCCCGAAATTATACCAAAATAAATATTAAGTAAAAGAAGTAAGTTGCCAAAAATTTGGCTTATTTCGAGTTCTCTAACATATAAAAAAAAGGAAACTAAATATTACCATAAATAGTAAAAAATAACTTAAAATCAAATTTTGGAAAAGAAAACAGTGGATTTTGGGCTTGAAATTGACGTCCATCGAGCAAAGCTAGGTGGCCACGACGTGCGCGCCGAAGAGAGCTTTCCGAATTGGGGTCATAATAGCGATTCCGATAACCGTAGCCAAAGTTATGGCCAAATTACCAAAGACGCGTCAAAATCTCCCAATTAAGGAAATAATGGTGATTTACTTTCCATCTTTGCGCCGATCCGCCATCTCATGGTATCTCAACGCCATCATCGTGCAATCTGACAAATCAGCATCACTTGACTCGGATCCTCCTGCATCAGTACTTCTGAGGTCATATGCATTATAGAGGTTTTGTGACCAGGTCCCTAAATGATTCTAGCTTGGTATTTTTTCATGTTGAAAGCAAGAATATCGCCATCTTCTCTGAGCCATGGAAGTAAACAGGTTGAGTATTTATGCTCAACATACTTGATTTGCAAACAAATTATATATTGATTTCTTCCCACTTATTTGAACCAACTGGAAACGCTTTGAATTTAGACACTTGGTTCACCTGGGATTTGTCTTCTTTTACATGGACTGTTCTCAATCTGATTGTAAATGAATCAGTGCTGGAATCAACAGCCATTCCAACTGGCCCATCAATCCAGCCATCATGATTTTTGTTTGACACCATTTGGAATTCCCCGATGATAGGGTTGAAAACACACAATAGTTCTTGTATCTTAAAATGTGGAGAAGAAAGCCACCACACGAGGCCAATATAGGAACTTGAATGGGTAGGATTTCATAAACCTCTAACGTCTCAAGAGGGTAAGGAGGGTCTAGCTGAAGTTGGTAAAAAACGCTAGGAGAAGTATTCAAGAAGTGAATGAGGTTACACACTTTGTGAATCGATTTAACAAAGTGTTCATGTGCAAATCTTTTATTAAAGATATAGGCATTGAAATTCTTGTTTAGGCTCTTACATCTAACTGCATCTCTTGGACGAAAGCACAAGATCACCTCAAGAACTATGTCATTATTCAAGTTGCCCATGCTTTTGTTGTGTAATGATTTTTCTATGTTTTCATGAAGGACGGTATCTCATAAGCACTGACATGCTGCGGGCGACAACATATCGATGTCCGACATGTATTAGACATTAATACTCCTGTGACACGTTGCCGACGCGTGTCAGAGTCATTGGTGGGCAATAGACTTAAAGAGAAGCAACAAAGAAAACTAAATGGGAGGAAGAAATGTAGCTGACGGAAGTTTGGCGGTCTGTGGAAGGAAGAAAAAAGAGAGAATAGAGAAGAGGAAGAGACTGTTATCCTGCAACCACTAGAATTGACTTGTCTGGGAAAGAAAAGAAAAAAGAGAGAAGAGGAAAAGACTACTGGAAAAGAAAAGTCACCCTTTACCAATGCAAATTTTAAATTTTAGGGCCCATCACTTCTAAAATCTTGTACGTTTTGTATTTTTCCACAGTTGTAATTTTTGATAAGATAATATAGAATATTTTATTTGAATCAATTTGTACCATTTTACCCTTCAACAAAAAGTCATACTTATATAAGAACTCAAGCACATTTTCTTCCTCACTGCTACTTACGAAAATTGCAAGAAAAATTCAAAAAATTCATTTCAATTTTTCTTTGTTATTTCATCTTTTTCAAAAATTTCATCAATCCACATTTGAAGAATCATTTGCAAGATCAAAAAGAAGATATTTTTTCAAGTTTCGGGTGATACACTCCTATCTTATTTAAGTATTTGAAATTATTTTTCTTTTGATGTTATGAGTGGTAATGCTATGAATGATGATTTGTCTAAATCTCTTTGGAAATATGTTACAAAACTTGATAAATTTAATGAAAAGGGTGGTAACATTATTTGGCAATGCAATTTTTGTAATGCAACTAAGACAAAGTTCATACACAAGAGTGATGGCATATTTGTTAAAATTACAAGGCTGTGGAATTGGGAATTGTGGAAAAGTAACCATGAAAGATATAAGTGAAATGCAAAAAAATGGAAGATGAAGAGAAGTTGAGAATACAAACTAAGGCGGGGAAAAGAGTGTCATTCCCATCGGATGATATGAGTTCTAAGGATTGTTATATTTTGGAGGAAAAGAAAAGAAAGAATAATCCAATAGAAAATATTTTTAATGTGACTACACGTGACCAATTGGATTCCGAAATTGCTAGAATGTTTTATTCAAGTGGTTTGACTTTTACTCTTGCAAAAAATCCTTATTACATTAGTTCTTATACTCTTACTTCCAATAATCGAATTTCGGCATATCTGCCTCCCGGTTATAACAAGTTGAGAACCATTCTTCTTAAAAAAGAGAGAAAAAATGTGGAAAGCTTATTAAATCCAATTAAGGGCACATGGGCAGAAAAAGGAGATGCCATTGTAAGTGATGAATGGAGTGATCCACAAAGAAGGCCACTAATTAATTTTATGGTGACGACCGAGAATGGATAAATATTTTTAAAAGCAGTTGATTATTCTGGTAGAATGAAAGACATTGATAAACCTCGCCTTCACTTGGTTTAAGACATGTGGGATACAATGAATGAAAAGTGAGAAATAATTTATAGGCATGAGAAAAAAGTTCAAGGAGAGGAATCATCATTCTACAATGTTGTTCATCAGATACTTATAGATCGTTGGAACAAAAATTACACTTCACTTCATTGCTTGTCTCATTCTCTAAATCCAAGCTAACTTTTAAATCTAATTCATACATTTATTTTTTATTTACATTTTCATAATTTTTAATATTTTTCGTTAGTTATTGTATGAATTATTGCCCTTGTTTGAGCTTCATTCTTTTGAAAAAATATATTTTTCAACAGTGTTTTGACATCATTTTAACCACACACTCTTCAATAAAATAATATTACACGTAAATTCAAAATTTTTCCTTATTTTTTAACCACACATTTCCCATCAATACACTATTCAAAAATTCATTATATCCCAAAAAATGGGGCTCAAACAGGGGCATTATTTCTTCAATTTTTTTGTCTTGTTTAGGTACTATAGCGAGGATTGGCTAAATGAGGATCCCACTCGACTTGCTCCACATAGAGATGTAGAGATTTCAAGAGAAAGAATAAAATTCTGTAAGAGGTACTAGTCAAATGAAAAGCGTAATATGGTGAATAAGGAGTATGCCAAATTCTCGACTATGGAAGATGACTTTGGTGATTTTGAATCCATCCATGATCGTTACTGCTTGGACCCGAAGACTAGGTGGTTTATTTATGGTGCTTGCACACCTATGCTTCAAAGTTATGCCTTGAAATTATTAGGGCAACCATCTTCTTCATCGTGTTGTGAGCGAAATTAGAGTACTTATTCCTTTTTGCACTCTCTTAAACGAAATAAGCTAACTCCAAAACGTGCAGAAGATTTGGTTTTCGTCCATAGCAATCTTCATCTTTTGTCAAGGAGGAGTGCGCAATACTCACAAGAAGAGACTAAAATGTGGGACATTGGTGGAGATCCATTTGATACATTTGAAGATATTGGTGTGTTTGAAGTTGCTAATTTATCTCTAGACGAACCGGAATTGGAGGCGATAGTATCTGCGGATGGAGATGAAGATGTTGAAGAGATTCAAGATGAATGATGTAGTTAATTTAGTTTTACTTTTTGAACTTATATTATTAAGAAACATTTATGAATTTAATGTCAAATTTGATTTCTATATATCATTATATATATGATTCAATAAGTATAAAAAATTATTACTTTAAACTATAAAATTAAAATAAACTAAAAAATGTAATCAACGTGTTGGCGACGTATCGTGTCGGAACCCTTAAAAAAATCACGTGTCGGCGTGTCCAACACATTTCACACTCGTATCCGTGTCGGTGCTTCTTAGGATATGACAAATGGTTTGGTGGGGTCCAAGGTTCGCTTGCATTTGTGAGTGCTTTTCAAGAAGAAAATGTCATCTCTATTTATCATTATGAAAACAAAGAGTGGAAAATCAGGCATATTATTGAAAATATAAGTAACACAGGAAACAATGACTACAGGTATGGTATTCCAATGTTTTTTGACGGCAAAAGACTGTCTTTTCTTTTGAGAAAGAAAGGAGGAGACGGAGAGATCCACATGCACAATATATCGACCAGATCCTGGAGGAAAATAGGACTGGTTCAGGAACCAGCAGATTGTATTCAAAATTTTATTCCTTTCGCTCCAACAATGGCAAAGGTCTCTGGTGTCTATCTCCATGACCAAATGACTCAGAGGTGAGTCTTGCTTCAGAAATTAAAGAGAGCCTCAAAGGCCTGTATGAGCTGATGAAACCAATGTATCCTCATTTGATTTGCACTTATTTCTTTGAAATGGATTGCGTGCGACAGGCACATGCATCTTTTAATTGGTTGAATTTATTTGCATTCACAAACAGTAGCAAATTGTGGTTCAATGTGTTGGACTATAATCTTATTTGTTAATCATGTTTATCAGAGTGGAGCTCCCTACATCTGGGAACTCAGTGTTGAGGGTTTAGCAGCAGTAGACTAGCTGTTATATTTATCAATCATTCAAAGACAATTTCGTATGTTTTGTATATAATGAAGTGATATAATTGACTTATTGGAGTTAGAGTGCAGATTCAATGATTCATCCTATGACTTTTTACGAGAATTGGCTTATTAACAGGTATTACCCGTATGATACTACAAACAAAAATTGAAAAACTATCTCCTACAATCTGAATCATCCCAAAGTGTAAGGGGAAATACCAAATTTTAGGACCTTTTTGAAGTCCTGAGAGTCATGAAGAATGACACTTGTGAATCTAATTAGCTTGTAATAAATATGAACCAACCAATTCCTTTATATTACTTATGAAATTGTTCCAGCAATTCTCCACTACTACAAAATAAAACTTAACTGTAGCAAACAAAGGAATTCGTGAATAAATGAGCATGTCTCAACTTGAACATCTACTTATGAACTTCTCAAAGCTAACCAAAGAAGCATAGTAAACTTATCTTTGAATTACAGATGTTATATAACCTAGCCAGACGTGTTTCACACAAAGGCTCCTAATCTCTTGGCATTCATATAAGTCAATCTGTTAAAGGCCTTGCGTTTTTATCCTCGTATCATAACAATCTTAGAGTTAAAGCCACAAACTCAAAGAAAGTTGTCAAACTTCCATCACTCACTTAGGGAGGCTTTCAATGATATTCCTACAAGTAACATCAACAATAATTTTTACAAATCTATTAAGAGTATTAGGCTCGACGTTTATCTCTAGAATATTACATGTAACGAGCACTTCCCTCCTGATGGGATATGCTCACCATGCCTGCAAATCACAAGACGAAGTACCTTACTCATTGACCTCACCTTTGATACTTCAACGGCGAGGTGAGGTTGTTTTCAGGTGATCATTGAATGTGTGCTTTAGCCATACCTCCTTGGACATGTTATAAATCTAAACTCCTAATAAGATTTAAAATATGCCAAATCAATAGAAATAATCCATCATTATTTTGTTTTATAGTATATGCTTATGAATACAAAACATGGAACAATATTAAAAACTCAAATTTACAACTATAACTGTTATGACAAGTGTTTGCACATATAAGATGTTCCATGTCTCATGGAAGTATTTCTATTTAGTAAAGTTAATGCATCTAAAGCTACTAACATCATGATGAAGAGAACTTCATAACTTTCATGCTTAATAGGGTGCCCTGCTGTGGTTTATTGCTCTTCCTAGTTATGCCATACATGTATAAAATGCAGCAGAAAACTTAAATACATAATAAACTAACAAGCAATTCCAGAACATTGAGAGGTTATACTTGCATTATCCACACATTTATCTAATGCATTTCAAGAATAGTTAGAAACCATTTTTCCTAACAAAATCAAAAATCATAATCTGTAGCACATTCGCCCTTAGCAAGCGAAATCCGTTTCAAAGAATAATGTGGCATCTATCAGGTGGCATCTATCAGTTATGGCCTATGGCCACGGTTTATTTTCCATCTAAAAGATAAATGTGCTTCCTTTGTTTATATGTTGTCACTTGGTCCTGGCAAAGTACGCGGATTCCCACGACTTCATAGTTGGACAAATACATCAAAATTTGGTAATTGCCCCCAACCAAATGACTCTTTAAAATATTCCAAGAGTCGCATTGTTTTGCGAAACAACTTAGTAAATTATCACTCAGCTCAAGGTACGTTATGGAATACCATGACCAAACAATTGAAAAGGTGTTTACTTAATCCCAGAGGTCCGAATTGCCAACATTATATGGCAACATAAGAAATTCTGTAGAAAGTCATTCCATGTAACACTAATGTAATATGCACCATATTAAATAAATGCAATGTAATTTTCTTTATCATTGACACAAACCTGGCTAAAAATTGCATCAACAATGCTCATTAATCCAAAAATTGCCAATCAGAGGAAGAAAAAACTCATCTGTTGGATCGTGATTCTGGGACTTTGCTTCTCAACCTCTCGCCGCGGGTTTTACTGCTTCATCGCCCAATACTGTGCATAAAATCTTGTGCTGCAACAATGTCCACTATTGGAACCAAATTTTCTTTAGAAATCCTCAAGCAGTGATTTAAATAGAAATGCAATTTAATCTAATAGAGAGTAAAGAAAGATTATTCGAATTTGACGTTTGAGCATTTTCTTTCCCCCTCCTGTTTGGCGAGGTTAGGGTATAAAATGGGGGACTACCAGATCTGTAAATGATACGGTAGAGCAGCTCCAAGGGAGGGCGAGGGGGCGGGGGAGGGGGGAGGCGTGGGCGTGATTGTTTTTTTGACATTTTTTTAATAATGGTCCCAATGGGGATCCATTGTTGTGAGATAGGCTCCTCCACCAGATCATTTACAGGTCTGGTAGAGGAGCAAAATCCTAAAATGGAAGGAAATGGTGTCAGATAGCTATCAAAAAGAGAAATTTTTTTCAAAATGGTGGTTGACTACTATTTAAATTTTTTTTGAAAACTCTATAAAAATCATAAAAACAATGAAAATCTAATATTACCCTTAACAAATCACTTTCAAATCGACGTCTGGACAAAGAAGGGGAAGAAATAGCAAGAAGATCGAAGGTTTTTTCTTGGAAAGAGACCAATCGGCCACCATTAGAGGCGAAGAAGGTAAGTTTTGCTTTTTTTTCCTCATTAATCTTTGAACTTGGATGTTTAAGATTTATTTTGTTGGAAATAATGGTAGAAATCTTTGTAAATTATGTGAAATTACAAGAAATGACATTTTTTGAGGTGTTTTTAGGTAGAAGATGGCGATCTTCGGCACCTGGAACGGAGAAGAAAGGTTAAGGGGCGGCCCAGAAGGTCATCTGGGCCGTCTGTTTACGGACAGCAACTGGGCCAGACGGCACAGTTCGTTTTTCTCAATTTTTTTTTGTTGTATTTCATAAATAATTTAAAAGCAAAAAAATAAATAATGAACATTTAAATAATAAATAAATGATTATTTAAATGATAAATAAAAAATGTAAATAATGAATAAATATTAATAATCAAAATATGTAACCAAAATTTTATTGAAATAAATTTCTAACAATTAAAATAAATAATTAAATATTTATTTTACTTGTTCAATAAATAATTTAAATAATCAATGAATTTAAATAATTAAATCAAATAATTAAAATGAACAATTGAAACATATAAATGAAAAATAATTTTAATAAATAATTAATTTAAATAGAAAAATAAATAATGAACATTTAAATAATAAATAAATGATTATTTAAATGATAAACAAAAAATCGCAATAATGAATAAATGTTAATAATTAAAATATATAATTAAAATTTTATTGAAATAAATTTCTAACATTTAAAATAAATAATTAAATATTTACATTTACTTGTTCAATAAATAATTTAAATAATCAATCAATCTAAATAATTAAATCAAATAATTTAAATGAACAATTGAAACAATTAAATGAAAAGTAATTTTAATAATTAATTAATTTAAATAGAAAAAATAAATAATGAACATTTAAATAATAAATAAATTATTATTTAAATGATAAATAAAAAATATAAATAACGAATAAATGTTAATAATTAAAATATGTAATTGAAATTTAATTGAAATAAATTTCTAACATTTAAAATAAATAATTAAATATTTACATTTACTTGTTCAATAAATAATTTAAATAATCAATCAATATAAATAATTAAATCAAATAATTTAAATGAACAATTGAAACAAATAAATGAAAAGTAATTGAAACATTTAATTAATTTAAATGCACAAAAATAAATAATGAACATTTAAATAATAATTAAATATTTATTTAAATGATAAATAAAAAATGTAAATAATGAATAAATGTTAATAATTAAAATATGTAATTAAAATTTAATTGAAATAGATTTCTAACATTTAAATTAAATAATTAAATATTTACGTTTACTTGTTCAATAAATAATTTAAATAATACATAAATATAAATAATTAAATCAAATAATTTAAATGAACAATTGAAACGAATAAATGAAAAATAATTGGAATAAATAATTAATTTAAATGTAAAAAAATAAATAATGAACATTTAAATGATTATTTAAATGATAAATAAAAATATAAATAATGAATAAATGTTAATAATCAAAATATGTAATTAAAATTTAATTAAAATAAATTGCTAACATTTAAAGTAAATAATTAAATATTTATATTTACTTGTTCAATAAATAATTTAAATAATACATAAATATAAATAATTAAATCAAATAATTTAAATGAACAATTGAAACAAATAAGTAACAAACATTTAAATAAAAATAAGCAATTTAAATAACTAAGAAATATAAATATTCAAAATAATTTATTTGAATAAGTAATTAAATATAAATAAGCAAAATTAGTCATTAAATATAAAATAAACAATTTCAATCAAACAATAATTATATTTTAAATAATAAACAAATAATACTAATCAAAGTAAGTAATTAAAATGTAGATAAATAATTGAAATAAATATCTAACATTAAAAATAAATAATTAAATATTCAATTAATAATTAAAATAAATATTGAATAAACAACTAAAGAAAAATATAAGAAATAATTACATATTTACTTTTAAATGTTCAATAAATAATTTAATAAAAATAATCAAATAAAAAATTATTAAAATTAATTAAAATTAAGTATTCAATAAATAATTAAAATAAATGTTAAATAAACAAATAAATAATTTAAATTAACAATTGAAATTAATAAAAAACATTTAAATAAAAATAAACAAACTAAGAAATATAAATATTTAAAATAATTTATTTAAATAAGTAATTAAATATAAATAATCAAAATTAATTAAATGAAGAATTGAAATAAATAATAAAGAATTAAAATAAACTATGAAATAAATAATTTTACAAAAATTAGTTTTTCGTTTTTTATAATTTGTTGTCTAAATTTATAATTCATTTTCTTTATTATCTATTATTTCGTACGTATATTACTTACAGTTCGGTTAGTTGAATTTTGTGACATTATATTTCAAATGTCTAACATTTGAAATTTTCCTTGATGGATTACCATTTGGACACCGTCTTGAGACAGGTTCGTGGCAAAGTTATATCGAACTATAATTTTGCCAGCTTCACAACAATGTGTGGATTCATTGGACGAAGAGCAAGTAGAGATATTACGTCGATCCTACCTATGACCCTTGTATTCGCTGCGCTCTGTACAGTTTTCTGGACATTTGATCGATTCATTACTATGTCGACTGCTTAAACCAGTTGAAGGAGATGCCCTCTACTTTGATCTTGGGGGTAAGGTTGCTACATTTTCCAATTTGAGTTTCCCCTCATCACTGGATTGAGATGTACGGGCGAAGAGGCAGCGAGAGCCAGTATTCCGACAGACAAAAGACTGCTGAATGATTATTTTAATGGGCACATGATAGTAACATTGGCGCAGTTAGGAGATGCATTCAGGGGATGCGACCAGATGTCTGACAAGTTGAAGTTAGAGATGGTGTTTATACTCGAGAGCGTACTGAGGTGTCATCACAAGAAGACGTCGATTGACGTTTTTCATTTGCAAATTGTTGATAACATCGATACGTTCAACAGCTATTCATGAGGGCAGAGATGCTTTGTCGATACTTTAGGTGTCTTCAGGAGAGGGTATTCGTTGCCTAGGGGAGACAAGCCGAAACATAAGTACGATGTATATGGCATGCCGTTAGCTTTGCACATAAATGTTTAACATAATGAGTTATCTATTTTTTTAATTAAATTATACATATAATAATTGTAATTGTTTTATATATAGGTCTACGAAACTATCCCCATCCTGGCTGGTCGGTATGCAAGGAGAGGGGATATATGCATCTCTCGGATGCACCGCTAGCGAGCACAAGACAAGCCCCTTGTAAAACAGTTATCGATCCCAATTTATTCAGGGAGGTAGACCACGCCAAGTGGAAAGCATTCGAGACGGAGTGGAGAGCAACTACGCCCGGGTAAGTATTGTATAATTCGTTAAGGATTAGTACATTATGCAGACGCTGACACATCTATACTTTTACTTAACAATTTCTTTTTTATTTTTTCAGAGTTAGTCGTAGGATTGCTCATAAGACGATTTCGGACACTTACAAGTGGTTTCACGACATCACCATTTCGGGGGCTTGGCTAGCGGACGATGTAAGTGAAGTAGTAATATTATTATTTATTAAATATACATATTTTTGAGTTTTGAATTTATGAAATTAAATAACTTATTTTTTAATTGGTGTTTCCTGATGCAGTACATTGACTTCGTCATGGATTTGCTACGAGATCGAGTTGAAAGACATCCAAGATCGTTCAACATTTCTAACCGACTCATATTGAACACTGAGTTCATACGTGCCATTGACATTAAATACCATACGCTAAAAGAAATGAAGAGCGAGTACACGGTGCCTACATACATGATGGAGTGGGTCGTAGGGATGTGGCCGAGTGTCGGGGAAAAGTCATGGGAGAGTTGTACGCATCTGTATATTCCGGTGTGTGTGAATCATCACTACATTACAGTAGAGATTGTATTCGCCGACTCGATTATGTATGTGTACGACTCCGATCATTCATGCTTGACACAAGGTCAGTTTGAGCAAAATCTGGAGTTGGTATCTGTGATCGTTCTCATGCTGGCTAGTCGAGCAAACATTACTGTGCAAGACAGACTGGCCACCGTGCGGGACATGACGACGGCAAAACAACAAATATCGTAAGTGTTTGTTATTTTATTTTTTTAATTTACAACGAACGTTCTAGTTAGACGGTGATGTGTTAATATAATATTTTGTATTTGTAGGGATAATTGTGGTATGTTCGTCATCTAATACATAGAATTTTTTATTGTAGCACAGAAGGTTGATGCAATCAACTAGGCATGGATACAAAATTGGAGAAATAAATTAACTTGTGATTTATTTGAATTTAATGGTGATCCGTAGATATTGGAGCCGTGTTTTTTTAAAATAATTGTACATATTATAACATTTAAATATTGTATATTTCATTTATTCATTTGTAATTACGAAATAATTGTAAAATGTATATTATTTTTCTAATATTTAATTTTTATTTTGTAATTTATGTGTTTATTTAAATATTTCATGACATATTTATAATATTTGAGTATATTATGCAGAACGTATTGTGTTTTAAAAAAAAAATTCAAATACTGCGAAACTAATTAATGAAATATTGAAAAAAAAAACTAAATCTATTAATTAACATTAAGAATATGCATAACACCAATGTTATAAATAATATTACATAAACTTCAATTATACATCTGTTACGTTGTCATGTAGAGAGATGTGACTTGTACAAAATCTTCTGGTATATCCTGTTGCACGGCACCTGCCGCACTTACAAGATCGGAAAAATTCTTCGGTCGATGATAATCTAGACGTACGTGTACGTCCAGAAGTACGTAGGCCGACTGTTGGTGACAACAAGTTATTTAATGAGAGAATGTGATCGGAAACTTCTCACTCGATTTCATTCGGTTCAGGAAATATAGTTTCGGCATATGCTGCTCTCCAAGAACCAGCGGCGTAATAAGCACTGCATAAGGTGTGTGGTGGAAGTTCACTATATATAGCCACTGCCACTGTATGTGTACACGAAAAACTTTCCAACTGAAACTGTCTACACATGCACGTGTTATCATTCAAGTCGATGATGTATCCGAAATTACGTACACATCTCATGGAGAAGCGAAACTGATCCAGTGGTTCTATATATATCTTTCTCGCCACCTCTAGAGTTTTGAAAAGTTTATCTTCCTGAGTCGGGATTAGCACACTTGTGCAGCTCTGTGATTCCTCACGAAGATCATGAAACCACTATTGCATCTTGTCACGAATGTTCTCGAGCATTGCGAAAATTGGTAACTCTTGATCCTTTTTGAATAAGGTATTAAGCAACTCCGCATTGTTCAACGTTATCATATTGTATCGACGTCTTGGAAAATGTGATCATGCCCAATGTTCGATTCCCATCTCTGTCAAATACTCCCATACATCATATGATTTACTTTCTATTTTGACCATAAACTTTTCAAACTCTTGAAAGCTGTAAGCCTCTGCAGCTCTCTTAAATAACGTAACGATGCCCTTGTCTCAATATTTGGTCTTCAGATTTCCCTGTATATGGTACATACAATAACCATGATGTGCTTCTGGGAAGACTTCGGCGATAGCGTTAATTATTGACTGCAACCGATTGGTTACGAATGTAAGGTTCTCGACATCCCCAATTACTTCTATCAACTTCGTGAAAAATCAACGCATTGCCAGATCATTTTCTCCGTGGGTTATGCTGAATACAAGAGGGCAAATTTGGATGTTAGCATCTTGACATGTTACAATAATCAACTTGCCCCCGTATCTCACCTTAAGGATTGTACCGTCGACTAGGATTAGGGGTTGCATTGCATTTCGAAATCCTCGAGCGCATTGTCCAAGGGCCATAAAGAAATACCTGAAACGATTCTCGTCACCCTTCTCAATAAAAAAATACTGATCCAATATTAATTCTTCCCATATTATAGCAAAACCTGACCAATTTAAATAAACAATAATCATAATTTAAATAATTAAATAAACTAAAAAATTAACAATTAAATTAAATAATTAATTAGACATTAAATAAAGAATCGATAAATAATTAAAATTAATTAATGAATTAAATAATTAGTTAGACATTAAGTAAACAATTGATTAAATAATTAATTTAACAATTGAAATGAATAATTAACATTTGAAATAAATATTAAATAAACGTCAAAACAAAGAAATATCTGGTCAATTTTGCACAACTCTTCTCGGTCGAGCCCATCAAGTCCTCCAACGCGCATTTTTTGGCCTTCCAAGCCTTTTGATAATTCATGACCACCCCGTACTCTCGACGAGCATCATTAATAATGTCCAAAAGTCTTTAGATTGTTCATGGGTTCTGAAACTTTTGCATTACTTCTTGATCAATGAACCATGATCAGGCTTGCCTGTGATCATTTCGACAAATACCCATTTTGCAAGTATGTTCCCGTGCATACTTATAAACTACAAAAAACTCATTCCTGTCCATTTTCGTTGCTCGTAAACGTCAAAGGCAACTATCGTCAACGCAGACAATTGTGTAAGTCGACTTTTTTGATTTCTTCACTTTAAACTCAAAATTGTGTTTCAAAGCAATCTGGTGAACAGCTTCCTACAAATCTTTCTTTGTGTCAAACAGCTGCTCAACATACAAATTTTCATCATCGGGGACTACACACGAACAATTAGAGGACCGTACACTCGGTCCAGCCTGTGAGCTCCCACTCGACTCATGTCTCAGACAGGATAAAACAATCAAATTCTTATTTGTAAAGTTATTATCTCTTTCGTTGTCTTGAACTACCAAGCAAATTATGTGTGTAACAGTGAGATCATGGTGAGGAGCAACTGTTTTTGGAATAGCCACAACATCATCACGAACTATCTCCACTGTGTCCTAAAACTCATTCACATTACGATCCACTCCATTGGAATCTTCGTGTTCACTCTCGGGGACATTCTTCTTCATCAAAGTTACACAAATAGGAATTGCACGTTTGTGGTTTATTTCAATTAAAACCTTCATTTCAGATTCAGAAGTAACCATTATAGGTGGAATTGAAATGGATGTATGCTCGCCCATTAAAAATTCCAATTCCATGTCATACTTAGAGGGATCGACTTTCAGCAAGTTTTGTATCTCATTATATATTTCTGCATATGATGTACTTGATGTTATCACAATTGTAGTACAACCATATCTTTCACTCCTCCATTTCCACACTCATCAGTCATTTTCATTCGTTTTTCATTCGTTTCAAATTCATCAAAATAACAAATCGGGACAGCAACTGATCCCATATCTGCATTAGGAAACATCATTTATTAAAAAATTTCTAATTATGAGAATAAAAAAAGAAAAAAATATTCTAGGCAAGACACACACACAAAAAGAAATGGCCCGGATGCCCAGCCCGGATGTTAAACACTCGGCCTGGACTGTTTGGCCGTCTGTCTGTCCGACCATTTATTTAATTTTTACTGAACAGATGAATTTTTTTCTCATTTTTGCTAAAAAAAAAATTATACATCCTTTTAATATTGTAATAATTTATTTTTCTAAAATTATATGACGAAATAAGATTTAAAAATTCAAACAATGTAATAATTTAACTAAAATGAAATTAAAAATACGTATTTATACTTACCAATTTCGAGTGCCGATTGTGAATAATATTTTTTTGTTGAGCCTTTAATAATTTTGTGAGATTTCAATGTTTAAGCAGATGAAAGAGAAAATTTCTTTTTAACTGTGTTGGAGAATCTAATAAGTAAAGTGATTTCGTTTCGAAATTGAAGTGGGAGTGTTTGGATTTATTAATTTTTAAAAGAGGGTATTATTGTGTTTTAAACAAATGATATATTTTTGTAATTACAAAACATAATAAAGGCAAAAATGGCATTTACTCTTCAAAAGACCCTTTTGGTGAATGAAAAAAAAAATTTGGTCAATGTCACAAAGTGATTTTTCGACTAGGTCCTTTTGAAAAGTACCCCTATAAAATGGTTACCTTTCTTAAAAGGCCCTTTAAATAAGAATTTTGGGTCCACAATTTTATTTATTTATTGTAAGTCCTCGTCCATGTGTGCGGTTGTTAATCAGAATTGTCAACTCCAATTGTACATGTAGCATGACCGTATTTCTTCAATTCATCAACTAGTTCATCAAACCCCAAACCTTTTACATCCCATTCTATTATTATCACCACCACTTTCTTGGTCAAGTTGAAGTTTATTATCTTCTATTAAGCCCTTGTTTGAGCTCCATTCCTACCAAAAAAAGCATTATTGAATGGATTATTAATAAAAAATGTGTGGTTAAAAAATAAAAGAAAAAATTTTAAATTTGCGTGTAATATTATTTTAATAAAGAATGTATAGTTGAAATAAGGTCAAATAACTCTTGAAAAATATATTTTGATGGAAATAATGAGGTTCAAACAAGGGCTAAATTAGCAAATAGCAAAATGAAACATAGTATATAAGTAACATGTTTAAAATGACATCTTAATATTCTCTAATAAAAATTTATATATCAGTGCAATGTCAATATTAAGTGAGAAATAATCAAATACGAAAAACATATCTCAATCCTTATAGTTCGCCCTTATCATATTTTGGGTGATGCTATGCAACACTACTGGCATGTCATCAATTAATTGAACACCAAACTTGATATTAACACCAATTGTGCTACATAATATCATTCATTTCATTTTTCCTCCTTCATTGCTTGATCGTCCTCCATTTTGTTACCACGATTTTCCTCCGCCGTAGGTGAGGTTTTGTTTTAATAAAACCAATGTGAGATTTATAAAAAAAAAAAAAAATGAAATGAAAAAAAAAATGAAAACCTCAAGAGAATCTTCTAAAGGCCAATTTAGCATAATTTTTACTTTTGTTTCTTGTATAAAAACTTTGGAACAAAAATATCTTAATTTTTATTTGAAAACTAATTTTTAAGAATGCTTCATATTTTGAAAATATTTGTAGAGGAAGTCATATTGGATCAACTTTTTCTAAAAACCCATCTAACTAAAAGAAGCATTTTTATAAAATTAGATAAACGGATCCTAAAATAATTTTTGAATTTTAAAACCTCATTTTTGCTTTTTCAAAAATCATCCCAAACGTGTCCCAAATAATGCATAAATTGAGTAGGAAGTCAAAATTCATTAAATCCAAGTTTGTAAAATAATGATTGGTTGATAAAATGAAATGCTGGCACAAATGCCAAACCCGGAAAACCTACAGATGAATTCATCAAAAGACTGAGAAATACAGTGTGACGAGAAAGTAAACAAACATAGAGGTGGTCAAATTTATCAAACCAAAAATCAAAATCAAAATCAAAATTTATGGATGAATAAGCACACCTGATAATGATCAGCTAGCTTTAAGTGAGAATTACATGTACCCCAAGAAAATGGATCTAGAATCTCGATGTTAATAAAATTTCATAATCTACAAGACAAACTTGATTCGCGGGTAAAAGTTTCTCCTTTATTGGCTTCTACATAGATAATGGAAGAAGCATCCTTCGCTTCTTCTTCCTGGCAAGTCTTACGTGCTTTGCAATTCTCATGCACAAGAGTAATAGCAGGGTAATACATAACAAAATTATAGCAAGCTTCAAATGCCTAAAATATAAGGAAACGGCCGAGAAAACAAGGAATGCTAATGTGAAAAGTTCCCATATCACAAATATTGCAACATCCACCCTGCATTCACAAAGAAGAAAAGCTAGGACACATCATAAAGCATATCAAAAGATCAAAAAAAATTTAAAATGTATAAACAATTAAGCAAGGATAATAAACTCAACAGAGATTAGTTGTTAGGGGAACGAAAGAACATAAAGTTCAGAAGGCAACATCACTCTTATAAGCTAGATTTTATGCATGTTATCATAATAGCCAATCACAACAAATGAACAGACAAAACATTTAATTCAAATGCAAATTGCAACTCCTGAATTGAAAAATTAAAAGCTCAAGTCGAGAAGCTTAAAGAATGAACTAATGACATGGTGACCTTTTACCCTTTGTTGCCTCGTATTATTAGAAACTGATTCCATATCCACATACAACATCTCCTTAAAAATAAATTCTCTTATGGACCCATACCAGAAAGCATTACTAAATTATGATCCTTTGTTTGCAGAATTATGATAGCGTCGATCTCAGTTTTCAGATTGAAACCTAACTTTCCAAAGATCCCACCCATTGAACCTGGTGTATGCAACAGTCCAGTCAAAGAAAGGAGGATATATAGACTTAGCTCTTTGTAATCTGCCAAGGTGTATAAACGCATGATCAATCATCAATCATGGTTTAATTTACATCAAATTTCCAGTGGTGACTCCCCAAAAAGGTTCCTTCACAATAATATTTCTGATTTCCCATTCCATAATCTCTTAGGAAGTAACTTATTACCATCCACTCTTGTTCTTGAATTGATGTTCATTGTGTTATCTACATTGCCATTTTACTAATGTTATTGGAGTGCTCCAAGATGTGTTCTTTCGATGAATACTGTGCATCCTCTACAAGCCCTAGGTAGAATTGTGTAATCCCATTATTTTCTTACTAGAAGATTTTTCACGCAAGACTATATTTCAATCATTTTTGGTGTCAACCATTTATGTATCTTATTTCTTTATTCACTCATCTGGTGATATTAATATATGTGGGAATATTTGCAGCAGACAAAATCATAAATTTCATGATTTTACACATTTTGAGAGAGAATTTCAGTTCCATACAAAACCAAATTTAGAAAAAGCAATCCAGCTAATTAAATCATACAACTCTTATAAGTTATATCTACTCATATTAAAATTCATTTCAAATAATATAATGTCCAGAAATATTTCCTTGAATGCAACAATTTAACAAATCAATTATTTAATTAAAAAAATTTCCTACAACTGAAAACCCCAAATTGGTCCAAATCTAGCAACATAAGATCACTAAAAGGTAAATTTTCAATGGAAAATAAAATAACCAAACCCAATTTCTTGTAAATTATAAAGTAAAAATCAACTAAATTGAGGAAACACAAAAATAACCGGTAATAATAACCATAGGAAAATGATACAGTTACAAATTTCATTTAAAAAAAAAAAAAAGTACCTAGAGGAGTTGAGATTGGAGGTGGAAGAAAAGAAAGAGACAGTTGCCCAATCATGTTTGGATCGAATCTGATACTCCTTCAGCTGCTCCGCAAGATTCGATCGCGTTATCATCCTTGTTCTCCTTATTTCCACAACCCTCACCTCCACCCCTCCGCTCAATCTTTCTCCAGGCCTTTTGTGGATTTATAATTACAATTGTGTATTTTGCGACCGGAGATAGGTGATCGGAGGAGCCGACGGTGACGGCGATTTGAATTGACGATGAATAAAAAATGAGAGAGAGAAGAAAATGCAACAACTTTCAATTCGAATATTATAACATATTTTATTATTGGATATTCGGAATCATAAGGGGATTTGTGGATTTGATTAAAAGCAGATTACATTTTTTTATTAAAATACATCAACAGTACTTGGTTAAAAAGTGTCATGCTTCTATTTAAAAATATAACTTAAATCAACAATTAATTTTAATAATATATTTCATGTGATTCACATGTTTTTAACCTTACATTTTATGTATGTTTTGATTCAAAAGTCAACAATGAATATTAATCATACATTTTATAATATTCACAATTTTTTAATTATACATTTCATCTGTGTTAATCAAAATTTACAAAATTTGATTTTAATACACACAAACATGTACATATATTAAAGGGAAAATACTTGTTGTAATCATTATTTACGGATTCTTTTACAGATTGATGAGTTACGACAAATTAAATTATAATTGTCAAAAAAATTTCACCACTTTAACATCGTGCTTATATAATGTAGGTTAATAGTTAAGAAAATAGAGAATTTTATTTATTTGGTTAGTGAAATTTTGATTCGGACAAATAAAAATTTAGAGAATTTTTTCATTCGGTTGGTGAGATTTTGATTCAGTCAAATTTCGTCACGTCGTCTGTTGATAAATAAATTTGTAAGTTGTGATATACATGTAGTATATCGATATTACAAGTCTTAAATATCTTTATGGATGGCAAAAATACTTGTCAAACTTGATATTCACGAGCCCCACTCCCAAAGGGGTGGGGATTAGGGTTGGGTACGAGGCAGAGAATTTCGTCCCGAGGTGGATATGGGTAATAGGAGCCCCCGCCCTTTTTAATTATTATTTTTTTGGCAAGAATTCAAAATTTTAAATAGAGAAACTCTGCGAAATTTTATTAATTCTAATAGAAGATGATAACTAAAATTATTTAAAAAATATGATAAACAATAAAAATCTTAGTTTTACCAAATAAATTCGAATAATATAATTTTTAAAAATAATTAAATTAATTAAAAAATTTAATAATTATATTATTGTCTTATTTGAATGAATGGGCAATAAATTGAATTATAAAAAACTATTAAAAAAATAATTAAAAATTTAAACGTGTAGATAAACAAGGTAACCACCCCACCTCACTTAAACGGGTAATGAGGTGGGAAAAAGCCCTACGGGATGAGGGTGGGGGAACTTGCCCTGCCTTGCCTCGTTGCCAACTGTAAATATCCTCAACTAGAAATGTCTAAAATGTTCAATTTGAAAAAAATATTTAACAAATAGTTTGGTGTGAAAATGAATAGACATCGTGAAAATGCAGAGGGCTCAATAAGAAGTCATGGTTGATAGGCGAGGTCACTAAACTTTGCTTACTTGACCCAAAGAAAAGTTTAGAAACTTGCGCGGACGAGATAACTAAGAAATCTTTAAGCACTGGTTAACTAAGAAAGGGAAAACTCATATCGAAAAGTTTCATTATGACCCATTTTAGAATTAAGAGATAAGGATTAAATTTTCAAAATTTGATATTATTAAATTTAATTTATGAAATAATTAATGAAAAAATGTTTTATTAATTAATTATATCAAGGTCACAAATCTATATAATTTGATCACAAATTATCGAATTAGTTGGTTACAAATTATTTTTCAGTAACAAATTAAAAATTTTATAAGTCATAAATTGTTTCTTGATCAGAAATCAAAAAATTTATAAGCCACATTTTATTAGTCGATCACAAAATCAAAACTTTTATTGGTTACAACTTATTTGTCGATCACAAAATTTCTCGATCACAACAAAATAAAATGTGAATTACAATCACATTTTTTAGGTCACGTATTATTTGTTGATCATTAATTAACCAATTCTTTGATCACAAATAATTGGTTACAATTACCCCAATCCCATCTCATGCAACCATCACCACCTCACCAGGATGAGTAAAACCACCACCACAGTAACCACAAACACCAAAACACACCAAACTTCGACACCATCATCGCAGCATCACCGAACACCTCAACATCATTTTATTGACACAATTACCCAAATGATTGGTCACAAAAGAATTTTATTCCACCCATTCATACCACCATCGGCACCAATCGCACAGTTTGACAACTCACAACCACACCACCACCACCACTATCTGCACCTCCACCTAACAATCACCACCAATATTATCACCTCCACAGCCAAATCACAAATTCAAAATAAAAGACCATTGATCCTATGGTTGAATTAGCGACATCATCATCGACATATCCAAAATCAAAAGTAAAACCCACTGGCATTGTCGCTTGTAGCGAGCAATGCAGATTCGACAATTCATTTGTGAAATCAAAGCACCTGAGCTAGGAGAGGAACCAAGAGCAGCACCGGCTGGAGCGGAAGCAATAAACGACAGACCTACTGGGCAAAGCGAGCAACGGGTGCTGTAGTGCACGAAGGTGGGTGCTTGCACTGTAGTAGTGTTGTCGCCATGCTGCAACAAAGTGCAGAGGTCGCTTCGTTGCAGTGGCATAAGCATCGCCACTACAACATCGTTCATTCTATTGTAGTGGCACCATCGCCACAACGACGATGTTCTCTCTTTCGGTGTTTGTAATAGAGAGACAGTGGTGATGATTTCCTATCCTAGATAGAGAGGATAGTAAAAAAAGGAAAAAATGATTTAGGGCTCGTAGGGATAATAGTGGGTATGTGTATTAATTAAGATTTATGATATTATTTATTATTAAAATTTTAATTATCATCCGATTTTTGTATAAAAATCTTCTAAATTTTACTTTTGAAAATAGAACTTAAAAAATAGAGACTGGTGTAATTTTCCCAACTTCGAAATCTTCAGGCCCAACAATGCAAAGGCTTTAACTGCCTACTTTAATCAAGAATTTCATAAGCCCAATAAGGGTATCTAGGACCAACACGAATAAGGAACAATCCATTAAATGGGATATTAACTAACTAAGGTACAACAATAATTATTTTATTTATAAATGAAATTTAATAATACTACCTAAGGGGTAGGATAATGCTATTACAACTATCTGTTTTGAAATACATAAGCGGAGGACTTGAAACCTTACATCACAACGTATTGAGAATGAAGAAATTACGTAATTTTATATTTAGTAGCACTACTTATACTATAATATTAAAAAAATTTCAAAAGTAATGGAGATGAGCTAACCAACTATTACACATAACGCACATAAGTTAATTGCAATTTATCTAACAAGATAGTTTTGCATTCAGTAGTAAAGTTAATAAAAACACATGGGGATTCCTTAACAATCAAATCAATATAACTTTGTTGAAATATTGTTCAAATGACAATGACGAATGATTTTGGAAGTTATGGAAGTGATTAACCATGGGAAAAACAAGCGAAAACAAAACGAGAATAAAAAAGGGTAAAGGCTGAAAAATGGCTAAGACGACCGCATAGGCTTAAGGAGGGGCGGCCTGCAATTACAGTGGCCATTTTGTTGAACTGGTCAAGTGCCCAATTTTGTAATCTGATCATTTGATGTTTGAACTATAGTATTGTTTTGAAGTGTTCACAGGCTTTTGACTTGGTTTTGCACCTTTATGTGCAATGTGATTGTAATTCTATATTTTCATAATTAAAAACATATCACAAACATCAAATTCATTCATCAACATCCAAAATCAAAGATCAAACCTTTTGTTCTTTAGTTCATATTTCCAAGTTTTGTTTGCTTGATTCAAATTTGGATTAATGTTCTTCATCAACTTTATTCAACAATCTCAAACGATATTTTCAACATGGAGAACGACACAACTATGGCTACAATAAAGATGATGAATCAAAACCTTGTAAAGTTTAACAGATTCAACGGGTAGAACTTTACAAGAAGTTGAAATTTCTTCTTACAACCTTAAAGATCTTTTATATCTTGGATCCAGACTTAATTCCATTGTAGGAACCAACCCCAAATGACACCGAAGAAACAAGTGTGGAAAGCAAGTAGAGAGAAGAAGATGAATTGATATATAGAGGACACGTTCTGAACGCTCTCTCCGATTGCCTCCATGATCTTTATACAAATAACACCTCGACAAAGGAGATATGGAAATTGTTAAAAACCAAATACAAAGCGGAGGAGGAATGTACCAAAAAGTCTCTTACTTCTAAGTATTTAAATTTCAAATTTTTAGATAATATGCCTTTGTTAGGACAAGTCAATAAGTTGCAAATTATTGTCAATGAAATGAAGGTCGTGTAGATAGATCTTCCTGAAACTTTTCAAGTTGGTACAATCATTGTGAAATTGCCATTTTCATGGAGGTTATAGGAAGAAAATCCTTCACAATTCCTAAGATTATTCTTTGAAAAAAATTCAAAAACATGTTCGCATTGATGAAGAGCCAAGGACAAGAGATGAGAATGAACATGAGAGCACTTCCAAAACCTATGCCATGGATCAATCAAACAAATACAATAAAGATTCCAAGAAGAAGAAAATCACTAATTCCAACACAAATAAAAAGATCAGGGATTCAAAATTTCTTGTTGTGTGCATGGCAAACTCGGACATTGTACTCGGGATTGTAGACATCGCAAACAACCAGTGCAAGAAAGTAAAGTGAACTCCATTTACCACATAATTGCTACCGTGAGCATTGTAAATTCAGTCAAAGGAAAAGGTCAAGGATGGTGGTATGGTAATTATGCCACCATATATGTATGCTATGATAGATCCTTTTCCAAAATCTATCAAGAAGTGGATGATGAACACATTCAAATGAGGAATGAAGTTCAATCAAAGGTTGTTGGCAAAGGAAGTATAGACTTACAATTTACATCGGCAAGAAGATAACATTAATAAATGTATTGCATGTACCAAATATGAATAGAAATCTTGTAAGTGGTGATTTATCAAGAAAATTGAGAATAAAGTCCACATATGATTTAGAAAAATTTATACTTTTCCAAATGATGTATTTGTTGAAAATGCTATTCTAATGATGGAATGATTAAACTTTGAACTATTGACAATAATATCAATA